ACGAGGTCGCTCGCGGTCCGCGGTCAAGGCCATTTTGGCCTCGAGGGGGCGGGGGAGGGGGTCAGGGGCCGCGGCCCATCGGCCATGGGCCATGGACCTCCCCCTGCCCCCAGGCCTGCTGGCCCGCCGCCGGCCTCGCGCGGGCAATGGCGAGGAGGCGGCCTTTCCTCCTTGCCTGACCTGCACAGGAGGAGAGGAGCAGAGAGAGCAAGAGGGCGAGGAAGAGGAAGAGGAAGAGGAAGAGGGGAATGAGAAGAAGAAGGAGGGGAAACAGGAGGAGGGAAAGCAGGAGAGGAGGAGGAGGAGGAGGAGGAGGAGGAGGAGGAGGAGGAGGAGGAGGAGGGGGGGAAGAGGAGGACGAGGGGCCGAGGAGGAGGAGGCAGAGGAGGAGACAGAGGAGAGAGAACACACGGTATGGGGAGGAGTTGGAAGGGCAGGGAGGAGGAGGTGGAGGATGAGGAGGAGGGGACGGGTTGAGGTGAATGAGGATGAGTGCGAGGAAGGGTTTGCCTGCCAGGCGGCGACGGCGCTGCAGGCCCAGGCGCGCTTCATCCGCGAGGTGAAGCGGTGCAAGACGTCGGAGCCCGCGTCGTCGTCGCCGTCGCCGTCGACGATGCCGTCGTGGTTAATCGCGTTGTCGGAGTTGTTGTTCGTCGTTTTTCGTCGTCGGCGTTTGCGCCGATGTCGTGGTCGTGGTCATGTTGTCGGCCATGGCCTCCATCCATGTCGTCGACGCCGACGTCATGGGCGCCGTCGTTCACGTTGGCGCCGGCGGCGTCGTCGATCTCGCCTCGCCGCCCCTGCCGCGCAGGAGCGGCGCGCCGCAGACGCCGCCGACGGGCACGCGGCGACCGACGCCGCGCGGGACGCGGAGCGTCTCAGGGGCGGCGACAAGGTGCAGGAGCAAGGCGGGCCCGCGGGCAGTGGGATGTTGGGGGGCGCGGAAGTCAGTTGGAGGCAGAGGGGAGCTGGAGGAAGCTCTTCGGCGCCAAGGGGGCGCGATGAGGAGGAGGAGGAGGAGGAGGAGGAGGAGGAGGAGGAGGAGGAGGAGGAGGAGGAGGAGGAGGAGGAGGAGGAGGAGGAGGAGGAGGAGAGGGGGGAGGAGGAGAAGGAGGAGGAGGAGGAATATGAAGATTATGAGGAGGAGGAAGATGACGCGGACCCCCCCCCCCCCAGGGCCTGCGGGGCCACGGGGGGGAAGGGGAGGTCGAGGTTTGAAGCATTTGAGGGGACCTCTTGGGAAGCTCTTGTGGCGGCAAACTCTCGTGTCCAAAGTCGCCCGAAGATTTTTGGTCGCAAAACGCTCTTGTTCCTGTTACGCCAGCCTTTGTTTTTGTTGTGAACGTCCTTGTGGGTTGTTTCTTTCTTTTGTTTCGTGGTTTCCCGCAACGTTGGTTTTCTGAGAATTGTGCCGACGTTGCGCTTTCCTTTAAAGGGTCCCCAAGAGGTTCCCAAGAGAGGTCCCCTCGGCCAGGGTCCCCATCGATCCTCCTCGATCCTGCCCCCCCGCATCTCTACCTGCCTCCCGTTGTCCTGCCACGGCGCTGTCCTTCCCATTCCACGTCGTGCTGACACGTGCCCCCATCCGCTCCCTGACCCTCCCGCTCCTTTCTCTCCCCCGCGCCGTTCGTCCTCTGGGGCTCTGGGAGGGGCCGCGCCCCCTGCGCCCGCCCGCCCCTCTTCCCATCGACAGGCGACGACCTCAAGATGAAGTCCAACCAGTGGGACCCTGCCGTGCTGTTGAGGCAGGCGTGGACCCAGGTGTACACGCCGACGGTGGGGCGCGGGGGCGTCCCAGCTTGTCGTGCCATTCTCTATGTCCCGTTCGTTTCGTGCGCATGCATGCTTCCCTTGATTCCCCCCTTCTCCATCGCTCAGCCCGCAGGCAGATGATGCGTGGGCCCCTGCTTGGTCGGCGCCTGCTGTCGCTGTCGCTGTCGCCCCCCTCTCCCCGCGCACCGCCTCGATCGAAGGGCGCGGCTGGGAGGTGCAGCGCGCTGGCTTGGACGGTCACCACAGCCACCTGGACGTCCTCTGCGTGGTGTCTGGTCTCATGGCAATGGACGGGTGGGGGGGGGGGGCAGGGCAGGGCAGGGGTCACTTCATTTGCGATCTGTTTCTTTCGCGACGTTTCGCGCTTCACCGCCGCGCCCTTCGGCGCAACGTCGGTGCGATCCGTCCCAGCCAGGGGTCGCATGGCCATCCAGGAACGACGCCCTCCAGCGTTATCCAGGAACAAGCAGGAACGTTGCCCGGGGCGCAGAGACGCTTCGCTCCCAGAAGAGAGAGCGTGGGGGGGGGTGGCGTGGGAGGGGAGGGTGCGGCGCGGGCGGGGGTCATTCCGTGGCATCGTTGTGACGTCTTGGCCTCCTCGGTCTGCTGCCTCCGTTGTTCATTTCTTCGATGCCACCTTCTTTGCAGCGCGGGGGGCGCGCGTTGCGCTGGCGGACGGGGCAGGAACAGCATTCTTATTGCGAGGAGAAGATCCAGGAGATTGCGGACACCAGGTCGCCAGCTATCATACAGCGCCATTACGACGCTACCCCCGTGCGGATGTCGTTCGGGAAGTTGCAGGATTCGCATTCGGAGCGGGGGCGGATGGTGGAGGAGTGGGACGGGGAGAGCGAGGGGCTAGGCAGAGGTGGCATCTGGGGACGGAGAGTGGAGGACCAGACAGTCAGAGAATCGTTGGGCCCTGTGTTTTCGGCATTGGCGCGAAGGTCGCGAAGACAGCCGCGCTTCCCGCATCGCGGCGCGGGCTGGAGGTCGGCGAGACTCGCGACCGAGAGTCTCCTCGGATACGTCTGGTGGCGGTGATCCTTGGTGTTTCTGGCAGGACGTGCTGATGCCGCACGCTCGGTACGCGTTCAAGGATGAGAGCACTCAGAGGTGGGAGTCTTTGAATTTGCGGGAATACCTTCAGAAGAACCCGCGGGCCAGGGTCATGCAAGCAGGGACGTTGAACGTCCTCGGCCAGGGGGTGAAGGTGACCTACATATCACCGCACATGGACGAGTGTTTCGGCTTTCGGATCATGGGCAGACCGAAGGTTGTAAGTTCGGGCGAAAATGCGTCACGTCGATAGCTGATTGTTGACTCCCTCTGGTTTGGCGGGTACGCGCCACTTGGCGCTTTCTCCGCTCTCGCCGTCTTTGGCCCCTGGTCCGCTCCAGGGGGCCCTGGATTTGAAATTCGCCGTTTTCGAAGCACCCCCCATTGCGTCGTTTGTCTCACAGGTTTTGCAGAACGGCTCGGCGTCATGCATCTATCGGGCACTAGAACAGGAGGTCCCATCGCTGTCCAAAGAAGGTTTGGCAACATTGTGTGGGAGGGTTCCCTTCGTCATTGATGCTGAGCTCCCGGACGCATGTTCTTCGAACCGCCGAAAGAAAGCCCGATGTTTCTTGGAGCGTCCCGCCAATTGTTTCGTGCTGCACGGTGATTGCGGTGCGCACCAGTTGCACCGCATCATAGAACACAAAGAGAGACGCGTCGTCGGCGACGTCTACGCGATTGCCGTTACGCTCTCCAACTTGGCCATTGCCAATCGCATGCAGCAGTGTCTCAAGCAGGTTCTCGCTGATGTCGTGGTTATTCGAGGCTGGGTGGCGCGTTGAAATTCTCTTTCGAAAGGGGGGGCTGGCGGAGGGGGGCCGCAGGGGGGCGGGGCTGGATGGGCCAGACGAAGGAGGGCGATGAAGATGATAAGCTGGTTGGGGAGGAGGGGGAAGGGCGAGGAGACGGAGGGGGAGGCTGAGAAGGTGGAGGGGCAGAAGGGGCCGCTGGTCAGCAGGATCGAAGTCGAAAGTCAAGCCGTCCCGTTCCCCCCCAGCTCCTTTCCCTTCCCAGACCTATAGGCGACCAGGAGAGCTAGGCGGCGAGCGGGCGACGGGCGTGGGTTGTTTGCGACAGGGTCGTGGGAAAGAGGAGATGGCGGCGGTGACGGCAACGGTGGGCCATCGTCGCCATCGTCGATGGCGACGACGACCAGTAGGAGGGCGGGGGAGGAGGCGGTGGCGAGGTCGAGCGGGGCGGCGAGGGGTCGCCCTCAGGATCGCCGCCGGCCGACGTCAGGCGCAGGAACCTCATCACCGCGTGCCGCACGCTTCAGCGGCGAGAGGGAGCGGAGGTATCCGACGAGGCGCTGTTGAAGTTCTGCGACCTGTGGAACGGGGAGTGGTCGGGCCCCTTTGTCCACTACTGCGACGGGTGCTGCCTCGAGGGCGAGGTCCCGAACAACATGTTCGCGGCCGCGCTCGAGGTGGACCTGCTTCAGTCCAGGACGCCGAGGGTTGGGCTGCAATCTGGGGTGGGGCAGATTTGTTTCGATAGGCGTCCAGTCATGTCATCGGGTCAGGGGGGAGATTCTCGACGTGCGCGTCGAGCCCAGTCTAGTCATCAATGGAGGCGTGCTCTCCGCCGCTGTCTTCATCAGAGTAATGTGTTGTTTCTTCTCTCATCGCATTCGCGTTGTCGTCTTGCTAACCTTTCTTCCCAGTGATTGCGTGGGCCCGACCTCCCTGGTCGGATTTGGCTTAAAATCCTCCAAGGGATTTTGGGCCAAATCCGACCAGGGAGTTCGGGCCCCTCCCCCTCTGTCTCGCTCCCTCTCTCTCTCTCTCTCCTATTTTTTTTTGTCTCTCTCTCTCTCTCTCTCTCTCCCTCTCCCTATCCCTCTCCCTCTCGTCCTCTGTCGTTCTCTCTCTCTCTCTCTCTCTCTCTCTCTCTCTCACGCTCTCTTTCTCTCTTTTTTTTGTTTCTCTCTCTCTCTGTGTGTTTCGGTATCTCTCTTGCTCCCTCTCTGTCTCTCTCTCCGTCCCTCTTCCCCGCCCGCGCGATCCCTTTCTCATTCCTTCTTTCGCCCGCTCTTTCAAGTGCGTGTCTCTTGGCATTCTCAACGACCTCCCCGTTGCGTATCTCCTTCGCTCTCTGTTATTATCTTCATTCGCTTTGTCCGCCTCCTCGAAGCTCCCCCCCATTTGACGGGTTGCACCGGGCAGGGACAACGTGCTCCCCAGCGTCGACGACTGGAACTCGTGCGGCTTCTCCTGCGGCAAGACAGCGCTCGGCATCCTGTGCCACGACGTCTTGACTTCCGTGGTCCAGCGCGCCCTGCCTACTTGGTCCAGCATGGACGTGGCAGCAGATGGGCAGGGTGTCAGGGGGAACGGGTCAGAGGAGATGAGGAAGCGCAACCAGAGGAAGGCTTGGAGAACGAAGAAAGTTCTGACTGACGAGAATCGCAGGCTATCGATTTGCACAATGGCTTTCATGGCGGCCCCCTTGGAAAGATTGCAGGAGGAGTTAACGCACGGCGACTCGACGAGGGGCAAGCGATTGTTGCTCGACGTGTTTGCTGAATCTACTTCGAACCCCTTCTATCTTTGTAGGAGGCGGCTGTGTCGCTTGATGGAATCGGGAGAGGTGTTCAACACGTTGTTCGATTGTTTCTCGCGCAGTTACACCGAGCAGGGGCTGATGGGTTATATTCGTGAGTTGGGCCTTGATTTTAGCGGTCAAGTGTTTTGGCGATTCAGACAGTATTTGGAGTTCCCCTACCTCTTCGCCCGCTGGGCCGACCGCACGGCCCCCCCGCAGCAGAAAGATAGATCGAGGACTTGTTTTACAGTTTGAGGCCGTGCTGTCGGGGCAAGGAGTTCACTCAGAAAGTGTTCAAAATGTTCCCCACGCGAGATAGGCGATTGGTTGGGCCGAAACATTCGTGGCCCCGCCCCCGACACTTCGTCTCGATCGTCTTCGTGCGCCTCCCCCGCCTCGCCCATCTGCCCCTCCCACCCTCCTCCAGTCTCTGCTCCTCCGCCACCTCCTCCCCCCCAGCCTTGTCTAGTCATCCATGGGGCGTGGCTTTCCGCCTCGGGCTCCTGGGTGGCATTCGTCGGCTCGGATCTAGATGTGCCCGGGGCCTCTGGAGTCGTTCTGGTTGCGTCGTCTCTGCGTCCTCGAGGCTGCGCACCGCCGATGGGACCCTCTTTCGGGACGGCATCAACGCCTTGGTTCGGAGCTACGTTTTTACTAACATGTCCAGCGAACGCCTATTGGCACAGATGCGTCATGCTTGCGGCAAGCATGGCGATGTTGAGCGTCTGTGCTCGTGCGGGTTCCTCGCGCAGATTCTCAGTGAACACAAGCGGTTAGAGCGAGCCGATCCATGTGTAGTGACCAGGTCGCAGTTGATTGAGGACGGCGTCCCCATTAGAGCGAGGCAAGCGGCCAAGACAGCGTCTCGCCCTGCCAGTGGCTTCGTACACTGGATGAGCGTTCAGCATGCCAAGCGACGGGCGGACCCTGGCCTCGCGGGTGACTATGCTGCGTGGAAGGCTGAGAAGCTGCAAGAGTGGCACGGCCTGCCCGACGTCCGTAAGACAGAGGAGAAGTTGAAGGCCGAAGCGCGCCACTCTGAGGCCCAGGCTAGAGAGGAAGACTCCCAGGACGACGGCATCGCGGGCCACGGCAGGCACGTTCGCGACTACGGGATCTACGGCACTGTCTTGGACAACGTTGGGGACTTGCGTCAGCCTTACCAGGATCATTTTTTTTGTTGTTCTGCTTAAGGCCCCGCGGGCCTGACGAGATGGCGGGGCCCCGCAGTCCAGGGCCCCGTAGGCCCTGTGTGCCTGACGAGATTGCTGGCGCCCCCCGTTCAGCAAACCCGAGCGAGGTTTGTCTAGGCGAAACTAGCCGCTCACAGACTTCGCATTATATTTCGAGGGTGTGCGAGTTTGCTGGGGTGGCTGGCGTTGCTGGGGAGGGCAACCCGAAGCACCTCCCTGGATTCACTTCCTACGCGGCGGACGTCCGCCAGATGCAGGCCGACATGCTATTCGTCGAAGATGCAGGCCATCGGGCCACCCCCACCTCGGCATACATCAGAACAAGTTCGCATGACCCCGTCATTGCGCCTGCCCCCGCAGTCTTCCTCTGTTTCGCGTGGTTGGATGGGGTGATGGGGGCCGAGGGGACGCGGGATGCGAGGGGGGACTGGGTCATGGGGCTCGGGGGGGAGGGTGGGGGGGCAGGGGAGGGCGAAGTTAAACGCCATTGGGCATCCACCTCAGGGGACATCAAGCCCGAAGATGAGTTCATTTACGATTTGCCGTGCCCTCTGGCGCACCCTGGGCTGTGCGCAACAAAAGACAGATGGTGCTACAAACAAGTGGTTGAGACGGCCAAGCGGCTTACCGACTACTTCAGTGGGCATCGGAGGGGTTCTTTCCACTTCATCCGGGTTCTTGGGGCTGATGGTTTCCAGGTGAGCACGTGGGTATCGTTGTCTCATGTGCACGGGAGTCCCAAGTACGTTCTACTAGCGACGGGCACGATGGATGCTAGCACCCGCGTGGTGTCCTTGGACCATAGGGATGCAGCGCTGCATTTCATGATGGGCACGTCCTTCCTCGCCAAGCTGTATCGCATGGCAGGGGAGGCGCGGATGCCCCACACCATCGGCGTATCTGCGGCGTCCCAGGATGAGGTGGCTTCGCGATCCTTGTCTGCTTTATGTGTCGTTGTTCCTGAGACTTGGGTACTGGAGCACTCGCAGCGGGAGGTCTTCGCCCTCCCTCGCCCCCCGGCGCAGAAGCGGCCAGCCCGCAGTTCGGATGCCAAGAAGATGGCCGAGGGTTTGGCCAAGTTGCCCGCCGATGACGACGGGGGGAAACGGAAGGTCAAGAGTGGCCGAGTCGGGGTGAAGGTTCGCATGCCCAAGCCCGTCGACGACGTCACCGACGTGTTTTCCGATCACACTGTGAGCGGCACCGACGACGACGACCAGCCGCACCCAGAGCACGAGCACCATCCCGACAGCGACAGTGACGTGTCCTTGGTTCTGCCCCCTGGTCGGGGTCGGGGCGCGGTAGGGGCGTCAGAGACATGTGACGTGGTAACCCATCAGCGCCAGTCTTGCGGCATTTCAAGATAGCGCCATTGTTGTTAGCGTTGTCGGTGCGTGTGACTCCGTCCTGTAGTGTTATTGTTCGCCTCCCATCCTAATATTCCCTCCGCTCCTTCAAGTCATCTTTTCCTCTCGCCCATCCCTTCCTCTTCATCCTCCTCCTTTCCCCCCTCGAACCTTGTCCATTCTCCTCCTTCTCTTGTCGCGCTGCCCACTTCGTCTTCATCTCTGTCTCTGCCGGCTGGGGAGGTCCCGCAGATGCTGCAGCGGGCGACGGTGCTGATGACCCTGCTGGCAGCCCGCCACCCCCGCTCGCGCACGGGCAGGCGCCCGTTGTTCGCAGGGTTCGGCATCAGGCTTTCGGACCCTTCACCGTTTCAGAGCTTTGGCCCAGGGGGAAGTTCGTTGGCTATGGTGGGAACTGCTACAGGCATCGGAACACCTGGCAGCCTGGTGCCTCCTGCCAGCGGGCATTCACCTTCTGTGGGAATACTCCAGAGCAAACTAGATGCCTGGCCAAGAAGTGGCTCCTCATGGGCGTCGGTATTCGGTCAGACCTCAAGAACGGGAAGTTCAGGCATCTCTCCGAGATCAAGAGGTCGGATATCCCTTTAATTCCTGAGGCCGAGTTGGACCGCCTCGCGGCGGAGCTCGTGTGAGAGCATCGTGCACAAGTCAAGCATGCTCTCTTTCTCTTGTCATCGTCGTCATTCGTCTTCCCCTGCCACCCTCTCATCCGCCCTCCATCCACCCCCCTCCAGTTCGCTCTCATATATCTCGAAGCCACTCCCTCCCCCCTCACTTCTCCTTTCCCTCCCATAGGGCGGCCCTGTCCCACCGGCGCGTCGCCCATGCATCGCCGAGCGTTGCTGCCTCATCCATTCGGCCGCTCCTTGCCGAGACCTTGCTCAGAGCTGGTGAGGCAGGAGCCTAATGCGTCACCGCCGGGGGTTGGCCTCGTTCTCTGTTGTGCCCCTCTTTGGTTTCAGATCGTTCTGGAAAGGCGTCGCGAGGCGATGGGGGATTCGGAGCGAGGGGCAGCGTTGCTGTCGAGGCCCACTCATCCGTCCACTGCCCTCCCCCCCTCTGCCCAGCCGTCGCCTCGCCCCCGCTGGCGGAGGAAGGGCGGTCTGCAAATTCGCCGATGTCGGCAGGGCAAGGCATGCGAAGCAGACCAGCAAGCGCAGCAATATAAGAAGTGAAATCGCGCAACAAGCAAACGAGAGGGACCACGCAGACAAACAATAATAGCAGTACATGGGCATGCAGACAGCACAGACAATCATGCACAAGCAAGCACAGGCAATGCATTGAAAGCCTTTAGATCTATCAGAGCAAACAGCGCCACGCGCCTTAGGCCCGTCGAATACAAGTACCGACAGATTACGCATTTCGCCGTTTGGACGTGATGGCAAACGTTGGGATCTACGTCTCATAAGAGGGGGGTTGTTGTTTCGGGACATCATACTGCTCTCATTTATTTTCACTGTCGCTCATTGGGGCGCCTGTGGGTGTCTTGGGCACGGCTTGCAGGCCAATGGGGTCGGAAGTTTGGGTGTCTTGGGCACAGCTTGTCAGTCTTGGCGCCCCTTCTCGGCTCGGGCGCCACAGCGTTGCCATAGGTTCTTGCCATCGGACTTGGACCTGCGATGAGCCAGGACTCTGTGGCATCTGGTCCCGTAGATCCAGCGGCGCCGACTGCCGGCAGCAGGAAGTACGGCATCTTGCAGTACGTTAGCAAGCCAGGCAAGACGCCTCCCTCGGCATCCGTTGCGAGGCCCCGCGCGTTCGACGCGGCCGTCCTCGCCTCGATGGGCGCGCCCGCAGAGGGGCGAGGAGACGCCCGCGAGAAGGCAAGCCGCGCTGAGAAGGAGGAGGGGCCCAAGAGCAGCTCCAGGAGAGGCCCGCAGGAGGAGGGGCGACCGCCGAAGCAGAGGAGGAAGGCGAAGGATACTGGAGGATCAGATGCACGGGCAGCTCAGGAGGAGAAGGGCGAAGGAGGAGGCAAGAAAGCATCAAAGAAAGCTGAGGAGGCACGGGAGGAGGCAGCTGAGGAGGAGAAGGACAAGGCGCCAAGGAAAGCTAAGAAGGCACGGAAGGATGATTCTGGCGGCGATGGCGATGCTCACAAGGAGCGCAAGGGCCGCAAGGAGCGGAAGCCTGCGAGGGAGGGTCAAGACGAAGGTGGCGTTGCTGAGCAAAACCCGATGGGAGAGGTTTCTGTCGGTGGCGGTGACGGCGGCAATGCCAATGACATGGCAGGCGAGGCTGCGCAAAAGGCGAGGGCTGCTGGCGCCAGCTCAGCATCAGGCGGCCCCCCTGATGTCGCAGCAG